TATATATATATATACACAGAGAGAGAGAGAGTCAGAATTGCATTTGTATCACTTTCTTAACCAGTTGTGGTTGCATTCGCATCAGTTGTTAATCTTTCTTTGTGTTGATCTTGGTTTGTTTATTGTAGTTTAGGTGATTGTTGTGCAAACCCATCCCATTTTGTGAGTTTAAGGTCCAGGGAGCTGGACAAACCCAGATTAATGTGTCAGTTCAGAAACCCAGTGAAAGGAATTCTGCAACGTCAGCTATCCTTGAGCAAAGGAGGGGAAGTCCATGGTTGTCATCTGGGCTGAGGGGCACTTTCCCACAAGAGCAGGTGAAAGAACAGCTGGGGTTGAGCATACCTGTTCTTTCCCCATCCCAACGATTGGAGTATGATCAAGAAACCAAATCAAAGGAGGGGTTATGCAGATACAGAGGGCGGGGCTTAGCAGTCTGTACCCTCACAGTTTATTTTAGTCCATATAGGAATGTGTACTAAGTGTCTCCTTCTATAAGCCAGGTCAGCTGCTGTGTGTCAACATGGCTGGAGCCTAACTGATGTCAATGGGGGACAAGAGTGAGGTCCTAGCATGCTCAAAGCAATCCTTCCTTCCTTCCTTCCTTCCTTCCTTCCTTCCTTCCTTCCTTCCTCCTTTCCCTTCTAAGATGCAGTTCAGGGTCATGCAGAATCTAGGAAATCACACTTGGAATGATGAATTCCAAACTGGAATCTTCATCATTGGTGAGTTTTAGTCCAACCTGCCCCACAGCCAAAATAAAATTGCTTACGGAGCCATGCATATTGCCTGCATCTCTTTGGAGAAAAAGTTCAATGAAATTCTAGGATCCTTGAAACCCAATTTTAAACACACACGCACACACACATTGACTGGATATATATTTTTCACTGTAGAGAACACCAGCTCATATTCTGGGCTAAAAATAAAGCGTTTCGTTCTGCAACCGTGCTTTTAATGGGCCTAATTTCTTTTGATGACCAAATGTAGGGCTTGAATTCCCTTTCAGTCTGTGTTCTGCTTTCCCCTGAAGTGCACACCTCATTCTGTGCATTGTAAATGAATTCACCCCTCTCCTGTGAGCCATGAAAGTTGTGCCAGCATTTTTTTTAAACTCTTATTTAGTTAGTTAGTTAGTTATTTTGCAGGTTGATAAAGCTGCCCATCTGGACAACTTACAACATACTGTATAAAGAAAAGCAACATCTATGTACTTCCCTTGTAATAATGTGGAAGTGGTGTTTTGACTTCCCAATGATCCATCATTGGACTATTTGGTGGTTTCCCATCCAATTAATTAAGCAAGTCAAATGCAGGATTCTTGTGTGTACACAAGGAAGGAGAGAATCAAACTACTTGTTGCCCTACACATAAAAAGTATGGCTAGACTAAGTACAAAATGGCTTTGTTTGGGAATTGACCCTTTCGTGTCAACAAAGCCATGGTTTAAAAAAAAAGAAAAAGAGAACCGCTTTAACTTCCTGCCCTAATTCTTCTTCATCTGTTGGACTTACTAAATAAAGCTGTAATGGTGTGTGGGAAAGACCTTGGGAGACGGGGCGAAGAGATGCTTTCAGACTTGCAAGATTGATGTTAGCCTTACCATGTAGACCAGACAGGAAACATGACCAGATAAGCTGATTCTACTTTGTTGTAAAGCTACATTAACAGAATCTTGCAAAACTGAAAATACAATTCTCTCCTGTCTCCTTTACAGTCCAAGAAACTAGGGAGGGTCCTTCTGAGCCTTTTTCTCCATCCATTATGCAGCCGCGGGCTATGCCTTCTCTTATCTGACCATTCCCTTAGCAGTGTCTCTTGGCCCAGTCTCCCAAGGTCTTTCCCACATACTATTACAAAAGCTAAGAGCGGGGGAAAGAGACAGAGAGGAAGAGCAAGAAACCAGAGATTGTAAGTGTAACTGATTATGCCTCTCCATATTTACTTTAAAGCTAAGGCTTGGGGCATTTCTCTAACTGTGGATCAGCTACTTTACCCTGGCTTCTCTTTGCCTGTAATGGCCATTAAAATAACCATGGTGCTGGTGACAAAAAGGGAGACACACTTTTTTTTTTTAATACCTGATATAACAGTTAATTAGCCCATAGCCTTCAACACCAGCATTCTCTTTTGTATTCCAGCTTTCCACCCGCCCATTTCCCTTTACGTAGCTTTGTCCTCCAGGCCCAGATTGTCCTCTTAATCTCGTCCAAGACCAAAAAAACAAGCCTAACTTGTCTCCCACCTCTGCCATGTCCATTGGAAGGAGCATGTTCTGCTTCTCCAGGAAACGTTAGAGCCCCAATTCCAGCCGTCGTCAATCTGACTGCAAGGGACTATCAAATGTTCTTTATTGCTGGCCTTTTTAGCAGTCTGTTCCTCTGGATTTCTCACCTCTCTAGTTCTATTTTCTAAGCCACCAACTGGTGCTGTTCTTAAAGATCCCGCAAGCCTACAACACCGCCAGGAAATACCATATCTTTCATAGCAGAGCTCTCTCTTCAGTAGCCTGCGTTCTCCCTGGCTTCTTAAGCTTCTGTTCAGACCCAAGGGAGAAAGATTTCTGGTAGGTTTTTCCAGTTTAGGAAAAAGGGGCATCTTGTGGGGGCTACAAAGTGCTGGGTAGGTAAGAAATAATAAATCAAGCTCATGGCTGCCCTCTAAAGAAATGTGAAAGAAATTCTCAAGCAGCCAGGGAATGAGACAGAAAAACAGAAAGCTATTTGGCAACGGGAACAAACATTATCGTTCCAAGAAGAGGCATTCTCTAGTTGGGTTAAGCAGGGGAGATTTTCTGCAGGTAGAGGTATGGATAGACATGTGCCCATAAGAACTATCATTCTCCTTTGTCTCATTTTTTTGCAACGTTCCTTCCAACAGGGCAAAAGTGAAAAAAGGTGTAAATATCCTGAGTGCCAAAGTCAGTGACCCACGGCAGTGGGACGTGACGCAGGAGGTCAGTAATGGCGGGAAGCATTCAACCATTACCGTGATGTGTCAAAGAATCATGCCAAATTCACAGAGCAGGTAAGTGCAATCCAGAGCTTCAGCATATTGAGCACTCTTATTCTCTCTACTTTTGATTATGAGACACATGAAGATGTGAAGAACATCCTCACTGAGGTGAACCATTGCTGCAGTAAAATAATGGGGAGGGAGGG